GGGGAATTAACCTTCTGTGTATTTCTAATTTCTAATTAAAGCAAAACTTGAAATATGTATTGAACGAAAAAAACAAATTTGAGAATGCAGTTATTTTTAATATACTTGTATTTAGTAAGAACATAAAAATGAATTTAGTAAAAGAAATAAGTATTTGAATATCTCGCTTCTTTAGCAAAATTTTTTTCCTATATAATTTAACATAATACATGAGTAACAGTTCGAAGTTTGCACTTGTTTTTCCTCCCTGAAATTCTTTTCTTTATATTTGAGTGAAAACAAATGCAAAGAACTATTTCCAAATTTAACACAAATGAACACTAAACATGGGACGCTTCAGAAAATTAACAGTATGGCACTCACTGACCATCAGGAGGTGATGTGATACATCCTTATTATTACGGATCCCGTTACGTGAAAGGCGCCACTATTACCGATAAATAGCCAATGTTTGTCACAAACCGCAGCAAAACGGCAGAAATTTTAACCGTGTAACTTTTCTTTCTCTTCGCTTATTCAAACACGGTACAACAGGCAAGGGCTTTCTGTCTAAGGCAAGAGATGCCTTCATAGAGAACTTTCTAAGGAAAACTGGCTTGTATCCTTGTTACATATGGAGAAAATGATGGAAACGCCCATGTAGTCAACCCGTTCGCCTGGAACGGAGTATTAGCAGTTTTTGAGTTACCAAGAAGTAAGGAAGGCGCTATATCATTCTCCCAGGAAAAAGGTATTTTACCTCGCATTCGAATATGCAAAAAAGACCATGAATGAAACCATGTATCAATGAAAATATTTGAAAATGCATTGCGAAAAGTTGCAAAGAGAAGTATACATTTTAACAATTCGCTTGTTTGCTGTTGGAGTTTAATTATTATTGCGCAAAGAAAGAGGGTAATAAACATGTTTGCTGTGTAAGTTTTTAATTCAAAACCTAATGAAACTTTTGGAGCCATTTAAATATCGGGGACCGTAGTAATTAAGAAATACCGATGACACTGGAAATCACGCTCAACTAAAATTGTAATAATTGCGAATCGAATTGTAATAACTGATATTGCAATAATCGCGAATCTTTCTTATCGAATGCTTTTTTAACAGTCAATAAAGTTAAATTGTCCAAAGTTTACAGGAAATTCTCATTCCTCTGCGTGTGCTTTTTTTTGGGGGGGGGATGTAAGCTAAAAACTGGATAATTCGTGGTTGAATTCCTGCCGCAGGTATGCTCACTTGATTTTTTACGTTCCCCGGCCTTGAGATATTTACCTCCATCAAGATGTTTCGATGAATGGTCAATAAAACTTATCGTTCCGAAGATTTTAAAGGAGTAGGCAATAAAATTTACCTTTCCAAAGCTTTTTAATGAATACTCAATATTCCTTTTAAGTTTCGAGTTAAAATGTTTAAACAGTTCTCAGGTTAAATTCCAAAATACTCGAACGATTAAAAATCACGAAAATTCGAGTTTTCAAATCTCGAATCTTTTTTTTTTTTTTTTTTTAATCGAATATGCCATCCTTTTAATTGTTATAAGATATTAACATATCTAGATGTTTTCAGAATTTTGTAAAACTTTTTACACTATTTTAAGTGTTTTCTGAATCACTCATGGGAATACTGACGATGACTTTTTAAAATTAAGTTCTGGTTAGTGTCTTTTCATTAAGTCTGACAGATAATAATTATATCATTTTAGTTTGCTATTCTTCATCTCTTTAAACAAACACCAGACACAGGACAACCAAACCTGACACATTTAAAATCTCATCCCTTCAAAAGCCAGAGTAATACCAGAAACATGCAGCTAGTGTTTACTTAAAACTTAGTAAACCGTAATAAATGGAAACTTATCGATAAATTTAACACGGTAACAGCTTCCAGACATATGAAATATGCAGGTTGTACTAACTCAAATAGCTAAAATTCAAAAGAAGAAAACCTTTCCTTAATCACCGAAATACATGCATTTAATTTATGTACGGCATCGTTATCTTTGCAGACTGAGAATTTCGCCATACGTCTCTTCTGACTGTACGGTATATGACTGCAGAAAGCTAATTCCATTAAGTTTAAATCACGCTATATGTTTGCTCCTGTGAGTGTAGCGGTATGGAATTCAAATACCACAGATTAATTAAACCGTAACAAATTCATAATTTCATTACGAAGTTCTCATAGATGTCCATTATAGATTATTCATACTTGGGACAGCGTAATTTAACTTGGATGTAAGGAATATTAAATTCAGCCGTTTTGAAAAAGATCTGATCTCGCTCAATAGGTAGCTGAGGCGATAAAGTTGAAACTTCATTAAAATGGAAACACCATTCATAAATTTTCGAGAATTAATTTATCTAGATATGTTCATAACTTGAAGTCTTAACTTGGATCGAATTTGCATCTGTTAATGCGGTTTTTCTTTCCACCTTGTAAATATGGCTGGCTATTAATCACGTTAATCAAACAGTGTCTGAAAAGTGGATAAGCAGAACAAGTCATGCAAATCCAGAGAAATTTGATGATTAATTAAAGACGTTTGGTTGAATTATGTAATTGCCTTGAAAGTTTAAAGTATGAAAATTAAAAAGTAAACATTCGTAGCTGAAATATGCAATGAAAATTTTTGTTTTTTAAAGATATATTTGTCAGCTATTGATAAGTTTTGTTCTTAAAATTTATTTAAAGATACAAGTACTTCTACTGTCCTTTTCTTCTGGTACACTTTATGAAATGGATATGCCGCTGCAGTAAGATTCATTTCATTTTCCAATAGAACAATAAAAAAACGCTCGCATTTAAACAACCATATGTACTTTTACTTCTTAATTCAAGGTGAATAGGTTGAACAGCCCTCCTCTTTTTAAATTACAGAAGACAAATTTTTATTACATATTTTTAAAACTGAAATTGATAGTTTTCGAAAAAGAAAGATTATGTTTAACTGTTTATTGTGTTTAATATTTAGCTACTGATTTGTCCCCCCCCCCTCGCCAACAAAATCACAAGCAAGAAATGCGTCTAGTATTTTTAAAGTATTACGAATTTATGTTTCTGCTGTGTTTAAACGAAGAGAATGGAAACTGTATTCTGAACATATTTCTTTTAAATCCAATATGCATTTCTGCCAAGAAGTAGAAAAGCTTACAAAAAATTACATGATGATTTTTACATTAACAGTTTTTCAACTGTAAATTTCTCCTTTAAAATTAGCCCGTTGGCGCGAAAAAATAAAACAGGTTATGAAACGTTTGCTGATCATTTTTTTGATTTGTTTTTAAACATCCAAACATAAGAATGTTTGTGACTGATTTGTAAATAGTTATTATCACAATTAAAACAACGTGTTTCAGATACACTTGAAATCAAATTTATTATGTGTAATTGAATATACTAACAAAAAGATGAAAATCGAGAAATTCAGTTTCAAGTGCGAAATAGTTGCTTCAATAAAAATCAAAAAGGACGAAATAGTTGTTAAATCTTGCCCTTACAAAGAGAGGGCCACAGCGAATTCAATGCGGAAAAGTAAATTGGATGCTAAAAGCGTCTTTACCTCAGGCTTTCTAAATTTTTCAGACCATTACGTTGTCCTACATTATTTTACCAGCATTTACTATTCGTGCGATTTGCATAATAATATGCCATATTGCAAAACATAAGATCTTTCTTTTATCTTCCGCGCGGCACGGAAAACAGCAGATATTCCAAATTTTGCCATTCGAAATCGCAAAAGATCTTTGATTTATCTTTCCAATTAAACCTACTTAACAACTGAGCTCATTTAAAAGAGAATAAAAGCGGAAATTCTTAAAAATCATTCAAATTTTTATCTCACTTGTTTAGAACTTATCAAACTGAAATAACTTAAAATTCATTTCAAAATTAAATTTACAATTTAGTCAGCTCATACTTGTGAGCATTTCCATCGTTATTTTTACTGATAAAGGATGTTTCTAAAGCTATTATATGCGTCTTCAACTCCATATTGCATACCTCTGTTACAATAATTGACTTTATTTATTTATTTAAATAACATGGCCTGAAAATTATGCATGTAAATATAAGCAAAGAACTGGACGCCTTTTCCACTTTTTTGTTCCGATCGCTATGATAGATGATGCTATAATTATTGCTTCATGTTTCTACTGAGCTTAATTTAAAGGTTCACGAGTAACGCAGTAGTTAACCCGGGAGCACACGCGCGCGCTGTGTCTAGAAGATCCGATTCATGATTTTTGATGAAAATATCGTAAATCTTCAGAAAAAATGTTACATCTATGCTAATAATAAATTTTATGAACAAATTTAAAAGCTATGCACATTCAAATTTTTAATTTCTCCAAATGCTTTTGTGAAATAAAACTTTTTTTGTTTTTGTTTTGCTTTGTTTTGTTTTTAAGTAAAATGTGAACATGGGCCAATTTCCTTAAGAACGCCCTCCACGAAGATATCCGTTCGCTCCAAGTAACCCTCGAGTACTTCCAGTTTTCAAATAATTTGACCTAATCGTATATTTAAAAGGGTGTATTTGGAACCCATAAGAGAAGAGTAAATTTTGCTTCTCGAAAAAGAAAGACTATATATAACTCGAAAGGTAGAATTTTTCCATAAGTTCATAATCAGTTTAAGTTTTATTTATTAACGCATTCCTCTTCAGTATTGCTGAATCAATTTTAAATATATGTCCATGCTTATTTATTTGTTTTTCTTCTTTAAATATTTGATTTTTTTTTTTTTCTGTGTTTTCAAAGCATTTTGTTTTAAAGATCTAAAAAGAAACTTTTCTAAATATTTGTTCTGTTAAGTCTGCAGTGATTCTCTATTTCAGTAGGTCTTTTTCATGCACGGGATGAATCATTTTGCCGGCGCCTCCGGCCTCGAGATAAGAAGTACATCGATTTCAACTTGTCGATCTGGGAAGGCGATAGTGTTCCAGAACCTGCAATTGGTTTGATTGATTGGAAGGTCCGCGGGCAAGAAGGCGTCCGAACTCCACTTACCTACACACTTCCCTCGGTGCTTGAACTCGACGGGATGTCCCTGGCATTTAGCTTTCTCGATGTCACACCGGGAATCATACGTCCTACCATCATTGCCGCACACCGGGACGGACTCCGGCGCACAGTCCGTATCGCACTCAGACATCAGGGGCAACTTGAAAGAAAAATAACAATAATAAATAATCAATTAAAGTAACAATAAAGTGACAAACATAATATTTCTTTTCAATCATTAAACTGAATTTGATCCTTTAAACGCATGATACTTTAAAACCGAAAATGAATAAATTTTGCTATGACCACTTTCCTGTTTTGTACTTTTTTGTAGACATTGATTACATAATTAACATACAAATAACACAAAATTAAAATCTTTCTGTAATCTGCTAAGGGGGGCTGGGAAGAGAGAGAAAGACAGAATTAAAGTTATATATAACAGGACAGAGTTAATCCGCTTCAGTTAATATTGGGGAGATGACTGTAATAAAAATTCAGATATTTTTTTAAATAAAAGAAATTATTGAACATTTTCTTTTAAATAACATATTTCTAATGCAAAAATAACGCGTATCTTATCTTCTGATAATTTATTTCTCATATACAATAATTAGCAGAGAAAAATAAGTTTTAAGTGTTAGGCCGGTTATATATGACTCTATGTTATTTTTCAATTTTTCAATAGTAATACTGCATAATTAATGTACAGCTATTAATTATTTAATAATAATATGATTCGTTAATATTACTATTTCAATACTAATAATTTATTTGAACTAATAATAAAAATATATACATAAAAGCGTATTAAAAAGTGAACACGCACACACACAAAGAAAATAGTTCTTCTGATTATGCTTTGCCATATCTTTGAGTATTAAATGAACATTTAGCTTAGATATGTTCAGTGTACGCGGATAACCTATTAAAGGGTTATCATGGATCCCACTTATGATCCATAGATCTGACTGTCTCTCCCTATTCTCAACCATGGCCAACAAGTACTGCAGTATTCCCTTGTTATAACACTGTTCGTTACAACCCGTTCCCGATATTACGATAGTATTTCGTAAACACATATTTAAGTAACCCAACCTCCCGCGAGGACGGAAAGCATCTGGCCGTAAAACAAATCATTGAAATCTTACATTATAACCAATCGAGGAAAAGGGAAAAAATATTAGGAGGATATAGATAAATTGATACTTTCAAACCTACTATATGCTATTATTTTAAAATAGGTACTTCAAAGATATTAGCAACATTCCCTCACATTATCATCCCGTTAAGATCGTCACGTGCTTAATTATCACCGCACATATTCTACGAAAATTATGCAGCTCCCCACTATAAAATGAGAAAGCGATAGAGAATCAAAGCCTCTTTGTCGACACACTATCAATAAAGCATCTCAAAAAATACCTTTGAATTTATGCTTCTGGGCTAACGCAGAACGGCTATTAATTTCGTTTTGGCATTTTGTGGCCTTTCACTACAAACGGCGTAACACTTTTCAAATTGTTGCTACCAAATATTATCGCCCTGCATTATTATATTTAAAGAAATTAAATAATCTCGCCTTGTGATAAAACAACGGTACCACAGCTACCAAATTTTCAATATTGTACGTCTCCACCCGAATATGGGCATCTGGAAGCCCAAATTTGGAATTTGTTTTATTATCTATTCCATATTTTGTAAAGTAGGTACGAGTTTTTGATTAAGAACCTCAACGATTTCAAAGCGAGCAATGGCAACACTGTACGTTTTATCTCCTGCACACGAGACTGTGTATCGGAAATTCTAAAGATATGCTCTTTTTAAATTCTTTTGTGATATTGCTGTTGAACTGAACTTTATGGTTTAAGTGCGAAGAACGTGATATTTAATAAATAAAGGTAACACACAAAGCGCCTCTGGGCATAATATAAAATCTGAAAACTTTCAGATTTTTTTTAAATTTTTCTTTGTGTGTATATGTATGTGAAAGATTTAAGACAGGCTGTTCTGGTTAGTTCTAATATTAATCGCATAAAAGAATTTATTTTAAACAAGTTGTTCTGTGTATTCTAATGTACCAATATAAAAATGCATTTAAAAAAAATCTGTTTGTTTCTTGCTAAAGTTCTGGAATTTTAAAAAATACAATTTAGGAAAGATAGAAATATGAAGTAAGGTAAACAAACGAAAACGATAAAACTGTTGATTTAAAGATATTGAAATTAAAATAGGTAACTACACTAGATCAGAAGTGACAAATTTTCTTATTGCTACAAATAAAAATTAAATGCAAGTTGTTATCATATTAGCGAAATGTCGCATATATAAGTCCCCATGAATGTGGTGGGGGTGAAATAAAGCATATCATTTTAAAAATCATCACACTAAATCATATCATTTTAAAAACTACGCTTGTACAGTAAGGACATGATGAGCTCGATAAGTTTCGACAGCATACGTTCATTTTCTACCTTGCGCTTTCTCCATCACGTTAGGCATGGCTCATTGGTTTCGCGAATTGCTAAAGGACATACCAAACATTCATTTGATGCGATTTTCCTCTCCTTTGTTTAGCGTCAACCTTTAGCTACTGATACTCGCATTTGCAATTCTGCCCCAAACGGAACCTGCACTCAGTGTTTGAAACTGCACAAAGAACCCTAAGAGAGAAGTAATCACTCAGCTCAAGTAGGTTACAGTTAACGCTATAGCATTCTACTTGGGAGAGGAAAAGGAAATCCATTCCAACAAAAATTCATGCATACGGCCGTTTTAACTGTTTGAAAGGAATAGATTTTGCACTTTCTAGATGCGAAAGGGTTAAATTAGAGATATCCTGCATACAAAATTCTATTCAGGTTCAAATAAGCCGTCCATGCAATAAAAATTCACTTCAATGATAAAAAAAGTATGAGAATATTGGTTCGTTTATTTTTCGATTATACCAAAAGCACGTGGGGGCTATCTGTTTTTCAAGAGATCTGTTTCGTGGTGGCTTTTTTAAGAAAAACTGCTTCTATTCAAGTTACAAACGGGAAAAGTCCTAAAACTACATATAGCCAATATGTTCTCCAAGTACCATGCCAGGACAAGATGCCAGTGTTCAAGTGCCTTACTTGGTCCACTAACGGATATGTAAAAGAGCGGAAAAACTAGCTCCATACAATTTGTTATTTAGTTGCTAGAAAGAATTCTCACAATCAAGAATACCTCTTAGAATGAAAATTGCTACCTTAATCATTACATATGAACATGTTAAAATAATATTTAAAAAATACCATACAACAGTAATTGTAAGCATACATGATCGTACGCAAGGCTCATTTTGATTACTGCTACCATCCTTATGCATCAACATCTGAATTATTACACACACACACTCACACACACACTCTCTCTCTCTCTCTATCACCCACTACCATAAATTACTTCACCCAATTCTTACCGACTGATATTATTCAAAGCCCCCACTGCCGCTAAGAATTTTCGGACACCCTACACTTCTGAGTCAGACACGAAGAGAACACTTTGCCAACTCCCCACTAGAAAGAATGTAAGTTACTTAATACCTTTTCTGGCCTTTATATCTTCATTTACATTCACTGTTCTTATTATATATTATTTTTATATTATTTTTATATTGTCTTTGATTTGTTTTTACAAAGTTTGCATTATTTATCTTATTTTGTAATCTTCTATGTTTATTTCAACTTTACTTTGAATTCGATTTCAAAATGACAATTTCCAATGTTTCATTTTTACTAATAATATAGAACTCAAATGCATAAACATGAAAGTGTCGGGGACGGTTACTCGGGTTAATTAGGATTTCTCTACAGTAATTGCTTTTTACTCCAAATTGAATTGACTAAAATGCTTCATAAGAATAAGTTCTTTGAGTATCAGCATTGGTTCATAATCCCTTCTGTTCGCGGAAATATTTGGCCTGACTAGAATTGCCGGTTTGGCTTTAACTTATAACTCGAGTAAAGACGAAACACTTTCCTATTTACGTATTTTTATCAATCATTGTTCATTGAACGGGAGTTGGTTTGTTCCCCTTGAAAAGTCAACTAATTTCCGATCAATGACAATGATTACATGTTTTTAATTTTTCCTTTTACAATTGAAATTTTATTCTTCATGATGATTTAACCCAGTCCCCGTTAAAACATTATTAACATTTTGCTTTCAAATTACTTCAAAACATCTTTCAAAATACAACTTACCAGTATGGATTCACTCTTTTAAAATAATTCTACTTTAATTAAACTTAGGAGATAATATAATCAATTAATCAATACTGTTTAGGAAATAAATTATTATTAACTAACTTTGCAGCAACTGCGCAATAGTATAACTTGTTTTCGCACTAATGGATTTAAGATCATACAACATTTTATATATATATATATATATATACAGGGTGGTTATAATTAATGTTCTACATTGAAATGGTCATAACAAGAAAACTACTGGACCAAATGTTATCAAACTTGGTAATCGTGTAACGGAGGTCATGGGAATTTATTCTTCGCGGGGGGTGGGGGGATTCAAAAACTCACCATTTGGGGGAGAAATGGCCCTGTATGCGATATTGTCAAACGAAATAAGGGTCGGAATCTAACTTAATCTTCTGTTACACGGGTTTAACGTGTTGCATATACCCTTCAGGAACGTTGACCTAAACAAAATTACCATTTAAAGGCGTTAAAGACGATAACAGTCGTGTGCGCCATCAGTGTAACGGGAAATCCGTCCGTGCAAATTAGCGTTAGAAAATGTGAGATCGCAAATCACTTGCAAAAGTGTGCGCATTTCGAAAATCGCTTTCTTACAGATCGCTAATTTGTGATTTTTTGAAGCCCAAATTCAGCCGTAAGACATGAAGACTGTTTACGGTGGTAATCTAAACAATTTTGCGGAATTGAAAGATGCGATACACCGACATATAGGTAGCATTCCTCCTGATATGCTAAGAGCTGCTGTTGAGAATGCAATACGATTTAACTTGCTTTCGGAAAATGGTGGACGCCACATTGAACTTGCTTTGTAACACGTATCAGAAACGATTAAAAATATTTTAAACCGATGTCTTCATGTCTTATTTCGTTTAACCATATTGCATACAGCGCCATTCTCCTCCCCCTCTGGTGG